GTATGCACACAGGCGTGGTGGCTTATGCCTGTAATCCCAGCACTTTGGGAGGTCAAGGTAGGCACATCACCTGAGGTCAGGAGTTTGAGACCAGCCTGGCCAACATGATGAAACCCCGTCTCTATTAAAAAAACAAAAATTAGCCAGGCATGGTTGTGCACACCTGGAATCCCAGCTACTTGGGAGGCTGAGGTTGCAGAGAGCCAAGCTCACACCACTGCACTCCAGCCCGGGTGACAGAGTGAGACTCCATCTCAAAAAAAAAACTGTATGCACCCAGCCATGATGCTTGTCTTCTGTGATTCCTGCCTCCCACTGCTTCCATAGGATTCCTACCTCCAAGCTTCCATAATGAAATCCTTACCTTTTCGTTTCAAATTTATGTCTTTAGTTTTTCTCAACTCTCCTATAAATACATGTTTTTACATACACATAGAATATGCTTATGTATACCGAAGTAACTATTTCCTATAGGAACTCTTTGATAACAAGAAAAGTGCTGCTGTTATTAATTAGCATATGATGATTCAGTGTGACACGCTTTCTGAGTTACTCTGGCTGGAAGTTTAGAGATAACACTAATTAGAGCTTGTAATGTTAACACATTAAGTAGAGTCGGAGTGTCATTTTATCTATCACTTTCACTCTAACCAAACCCTGAACACTAATGGGAACCATATTCTGTCACTTGTTCAAATATTTTACCTGAAGTCCTCAGATTTGTTCTCTTTAGTGTGTTAGGATGTTGAACTTCAACTGTTTTCCATTACTTGAAGTGGGTTAAATGCAAAAGGTTGGGGGTGCCATACCACTTCTAGTTCAGATCATCATGTTTCTTTGATTAGGCACTGTAGTAGTCAATTTTTGCTAAGTAAGTCTTTAGTAATAAACAAACCTAAACTTCAGTTTCCTCTTTGCTTACATTATATTATGTCAGCTAGTGGCTGAGGCTCTGACCCACGTAATTTCTTATTCTAGAACCCAGGCAGAAGGACCAGCCTCTATTCAGAACATGGCTTTCTCTTGGTGGAGGGAAAGAGCAGGCACACTAGTAGAGAAAGGCAGTGACTCTTAAAGCTTCCACCCAGGACTGTCTGATTGTCACCTCCACTTGTATTTTATTGACCAAAGCAAGATTCATGTTTCTAAACTTTGTGATTACAATATGACATTTATCTGAGGAGAGGAGGAAAATCCCATCATGGGATCATAGCCAAGCCTGGAATGCCTACGGGGCAGCACTGGAAGTCACATAGTAGTGGGCAAGCCTGTCTATTCCTCTAAAGGAGAGCAAATATTTGGTAACAGTATTTCAATCTACCACAGGCATTTAGTGGACTTACCTTTTCACTTATTTATGTAAATATAATTTCCAGGCTTTTCCTGTTTGCTTTCCTCCAAAAATTATGTTTCCAACTATAAGCGAATAGTGGCAACCCTAAATTATGTCTTTTTAAAAGAGAACTCTGTCTCTATTTCAGGACTTTCACAGGATCTTATTCTCCTGTGTAGTCAACCCTCTTGCAGCTAGTGTTTAAATCCAAACCAGGTCACTGGCTGGCATTCACAGGTGAATCTTCTGGTTCTGTGTCCCAAGAGAAGAGCAGGAGAGAGGGGGAAGAATGCAACATTCATTTATTTACAAATATTTATTGAATACTTTCTGGGTGCCAGCAGTATTGTAGATGCTAGGGATGGAGGAGTAAACAAAGCAAAGCTTCTTGGGGCTTCCACTAAGAAAACAAGCAATATGATGTTATGTGGTAAAAGTGCTATGGTGACAAGTAAAAAAAGGAGAGAATGACTGGGTAAGGTGATAAGAGGAAACCTTTCGGAAGTGACATTTGAGCAGAACCTTCATTAAAATGAGGGTATAAGCTAGAAGCATCTGGGAGGAAAATCATTCTCCTGCGTAGCATAAAGACTCTGAGATGGGGAGAAACTGGGCAGGATTAAGAAACCTCAGGGAGGCCAGTATGACTACAGCAGAGTCAGAGAGAATATGTGGTAGGAAACAAAATAATCATATACAGATTTGTAGAGGTGTTAATTCTGGATTTTATTCTAAATGTGATGGAAGCCATGAATGGTTTGGAGCAAGACGGCGACATGATCTGATTTGTTTTTAAAAGATGATTCTGGGCTGGGAGTGGTGGCTAACGCGTGTAATCTCAGTACTTTGGGAGACCAAAGTGGGCAGATCACCTGAGGTCAGGTGTTCAAGACCAACCTAGCCAACACGGCGAAACCCCGTCTCTACTAAAAAATAGAAAAAATTAGCCAGGTGTGGTGGTGGCGGGGCGGGGAGGGGGGTGCTGTAATCTCAACTGCTAGGGAGGCTGAGGCAGGCAGAATTGCTTGAACCCGGGAGGCAGAGGTTGCAGTGAGCAGAGATCACGCCACTGCACTTCAGCCTGGGCGACAGAGAGAGACTCCGTCTCAAAAAAAAAAAAAAAAAAAAAAAAAGTCATTCCGACTGCTAATATAGAAAATGTGTTAGAGCAAAGGAGTGGAAGAAGTGTGGAAGGTTCTACCTCTTTAGTGCTATCCAATACTAAGGTACTATTCTTAACATCTCTGGCCCCATATATGGTTTTTAATGTACACAGATTTAAGAGATTCATGTTTATAAGTTTTGTGATTAAAATATGATAATGTATGCCTGAAAAAAGGAAAAAATCCACCATTAAATTTTGCATTATTTTAGAAAAAGGAACTAAAATAAGATGTATACATTTGATAGGAAAAATTTGAAATGAATAGCTAAAAGAAAATATATTTAATATTTGCCTAGCAGCCTATATAGGAAGGTGAGAGAGGAAAAGTGTAATAGATTAAGTCAGTCAGACACTGAATTTAAAAACCTCTCTGACCAAAGCAAAAGAAGCCATATTGCAGAGGAAAGTCCTTCTTAAACCATATCAGCTGGGTATGGTGTTGCATGTCTATAATTTCAATACTTTGGGATGCCATGGTGGGAGGATCCCTTGAGCCCAGGAGTTCAAGACCAGCCTGGGCAACATAGGGAGACCCTGTCTCTACAAAAAATAAATGAAAAAAAATTTAGCTGGGTGTGGTGGCATATGCCTGTAGTCCCAGCTGCTTAGGCTACTCAGGAGGCTGAGGTTGGAGGATTGCTTGAGCCCAGGAGGTCAAGGCTGCAGCAAGCCATGATAGCACCACTGCACTACAGCCTGGGTGACAGAATGAGACTGTCTCAAAAAAAAAAAAAAAAAAATTGATGAGATTTAGGAGACACATCAGTCTGATCAGCAGTGGAAAGCACATTAGAACTTGACTCAAGAGAACTGTGTCTCATCTCTGGATCTCCAATTACTGGCTGTGGGACCTTATACAAATTACTTAACTTTTCTGAGTCTTCATTTTCTTATCTATAGAAATAGAGGATGCCAGTTTATTCTTTATAGAGTTTTGAGGATTAGATGAGATATTACAAATGAAGTGCTGGCCCAGTGATTGGTATGTATTATAAGTATAAACATTCATATCAACCTGAATTATGTAGGAAATTGCACTCAGAAAGCTGTTATCTCCAAGAGATTGACCTAAAGATGGTATAGAAAATAAAATGCAATGGCCACAACACTGAGTATTGACTGTCCTCTAAATATTTGCAATTGAGAAGGGTTTTTTCCTGGTCAGGCGCGGTGGCTCACACCTGTAATCCCAGCGCTTTGGAAGGCCAATGTGGGCAGATCACGAGGTCAAGAGTTCGAGACCAGAATGGCCAACATGGTGAAACCTCGTCTCTACTAAGCGTACAAAAATTAGCCGGGCATGGTGGTGCGTGCCTGTAATCCCAGCTACTCGGGAGGCTGAGGCAAGAGAATCACTTAAACCCGGGAGGCAAAGTTTGCAGTGAGCCAAGATCGTGCCACTACACTTTAGCCTGGGCGACAGAACAAGACTGTCTTAGAAGAAAAAGAAAAAAAAAAGTTTTTTTTTCCTTAAAAACCCAAACCATCAGTGATCTCCATTGCTGACATTAGTGGGTGCCAGTTGCATGAAATTCCAGGATGTTTATCTAACCTAGGGTGCTCCCTTCTCTGAGGGGAAGAAGTAGATGCCAGGAGAGGTTTAAACCATTAAGTGGCTCGCATACTGGGTGTAGCTGGAATGTACCTCAAGCAGGCACGTCAGTCCACTTCTTTGGCTACATTTTTGAAAGGTTGTGTCGAAGTTTAGCATTACTCCTGGGGATGGTCTGCTCCTGAAGAGCAGGCCAGGAAAATTCCCAGTAAGTGACTAAATGAATAAATGGTAAAATGTTGCAGTTCTCTCTCCACAGAGTCTCGCACAAAAGGTAGCCATTACATAGGCCACTGTCAAACAGTCCTCTGAGAGATTCCCATACTCTTCCTCTTCCCTCTAGACTACCCATCTGCCCCAATCCCTCCCTTAAGCAGCCACTTCTGTTTTTTCTCCCACTACAGCAGCCAGCCCCACCGCCTGGTGCAGAGCTTGAAGATGGAACGGGACGATAGGATGGGCAGAAACTGCCCTGGAATAGCTACATCATCCCTGGTTGCATACCTAAGAAAACCACTAGGGTCACCACACCCTGGAGGTGACATTCGCATGATTTATGCCTCTCTTGGGCTTTAGATTTTATTCCTTTACTTTTCTATAACTCTGTCATGGCCAGTTTAAAGGGCTCAATGTCATGTCCTCCCATTAACAACCAAGACTACAGTGCAAGCCCTGCCGTGTGTGCTTCTTTACAAAAGGTCAAAGTAAAAAGGAAATCTATACCGAAGAGCCTCTAGATACTATTTCCAGCTTCGGGGGAGTCCACAGTAGGTACTTCCACGGGTAGAGAACATTGTCTTAGACTGGGATAAGGGTTGGTATTCGCAGTCCCCTTCCTACGTTCTGTCCATTGTAAAGACCGGAGTCCGCGCTGAGCCTCGCCCTCCTCGCTGGAACTACAACTCCCAGGATACCCTGCGGCATGGGAGTGCGCACGCGCGTCGGAGGCGGAGGAGGAACCCGCCGCACCGACAGGGCGGTCGAGTGAGGGAGCTGCTGGCGGGTGGGTCAGGCAATTCCTTGGGAGGCCGACGCGGGCGCACGGGCGGGTGCTGGGAACCGAGCCTAGGCTTGCGGCCGGCAGTTTCCGTGGATCTGTGAAGAAGTCGGCGGCCCCTGCGGGCGCCAGTCAGGTAAGCCCAGCCCGGTGCTTTCCAGGAAGTCCGTCTGCGGGCGCGGGCTGGGGAGTCGCACCGGCCATGGTGGCTGAGGAGGGAGAGCTTGCTGCCCGCCCGCAGCCCGACTCCCGGCTCCTTCCCGACGGGTCCGTCTAGGGGAGCGGGGGCACACGGGGGCTGCTTCTCCGCGAACGGCCCGGGCCGGGGGCGTGGGGCGCGCTGGGCGTCGCCGGCCGGTCGAGGCGCGCGAACCCGGCGTTCCCGGTGAATCACCCGCGGCCCGGGCGCCCGGGTTCAGGACCGGCCCCCTCCCCTCCCGCGGAGCCGCGGCCAAGCTGGCTCCCTGCACCCCACCCAGCATCGCCGGGACACGATAGCACCAAGCCTCCTTCAAAGGCTTCGGCTTTTTAAAAGTTGGGGCGGCGGAGTAGGGGAGCCAAAACTTAGGGCACACCCTTTTTGTGATTGAAATGTGGCTGCCCTTGCATTCACCGATTTGATCTGTCTGCTCTTAGAATTAAGTTCCTAGCTCCCAGGCAGCACAGCTGGATCCGGCTGGGAAGTTTGTGTGTTAGTTTGTTTTGAGGACGTGACTGGGTCGTTATATTTTTGCTTGCAGCGGGTGGTGTGTTTCCTCCGCAAGCCTGCATTCTGATTGCAAACAGAAATGGGAAACAGCCAGTTTCTTTCTTTCTTTTTAATGTTTAGTTAAGAATCGCATTTCCAACTTGCCCTTGGCCTCTGTTAAAACCAAAAGTCATCTGGCAATGAACACTGCAGTAAAACTTACCCCAGGAGGCCATACTTCAACAGGAAATAAGCCTGTGGAGATTTAAGTTAGTTATGTGCAGTTTTCCTTGGTTTGTAACATTTTCATGCAACTCATGTGTCCTTTTCTGAGAAACTTTCAGATTAATTTTTTTGGCAGATTAAATTGATTAATTAATTGGCCCGTCAAAAATATATTAGGCTTGGAAAAATAGCTTTACCAAGGCTCATTTACTCTTGCTAGTTTCTTCTTCCTAGGCACCTTTTCACCTGTAAGAGTCAGCAGTTATAATATTACAGTCCCCTTTCTTACACATTCCTACGAAAGGAACAAAACTAATTAAAATGTCCAAATATATTTTAGCTCTTTGAGTTTTCTTTGCTTTTGCAACTCGCAGAAATTCTAGTTTGCTAATCTTTAAAATTAGGTTGTTGGACCAGATGACCCCCAAGATTATTCTGCCCCTAAATATCTCTGGTTTTTAAAAGTTCATTTATTTTACTCATTCAGGAAACACTGGCCATATGAATTCCAAGCCCTATGCTAGCCATGAGAAAGAGCAAACATGAGTTCTTGAGAATGCTGTAGACCTACTGCTCAATTTTATTTAATCATGTATTTTTTTATGACTAATTCCTAAATTTTGTGGTATATCCAATATGCTAACCTACACTGTAATTAATAACTTCATCTGAAGTTAAATACGTACAGGTCAAATCCCATTCAAAGATTTTTCGTTCGTAATTACTGGCCCATTGAAACAAAACAGGTTTGGTATGACAGAAAGGCCCTGAATGGTGGAGGGCAGTCTTTTCAAACTTTAACATGCGTAATTCACTCAGGATATTGTAAGCTTGAAGTAGAGCCCAAAGTCTGTATGTCTGATAGGTAATGCTGTCAGAGACCACACTTTGAATGTCAAGTGTGGGGAGGTAATTTTAGAGATATTTTAAGGTGTTTTTAATGGCAATTTAAATACTGATACTGATAACTGATATTAGATACATAATTGATGGCTTTTTCAACTCTCGGTTTTTTAAAATACTGTAATCCTATTAACTCTAACAAGAACAATTGTCTTCATAAGTTTTTCTCTTTCTTTCCTTTTCCTTTCCTTTGCTAGTTTGTCTTTTTTCTCTTTGCTTTTTTTTTTTTCTCTCCTCCTCTTCCTTCCTTGTTTTCACTCACATTAATTTGGCAGTTCATGAATTCAAGTATGTGTCTTGCCCCATTCTGTACAAAGTAGTGTTTTAGGCTCTTGGTGACTATGTGTAAGACATGAGGCCAGGGCCGGGCTTGGTGGCTCACACCTGTAATCCTAGCACTTTGGGAGGCCAAGGTGGGAGGATTGCTTGAACCCAGGTGTTTGAAACCAGTCTGGGCAACATAGCAAGACCCTGTCTCTACAAAATAAAATAAATTAGCTGGGTGTAGTGGTGATGCTTGTAGTCCTGGCTACTCAGGAGGCTGAGGCAGGAGGATTGCTTGAGCCCAGGAGTTTGAGATTACAGTGAGACACAATGATTGTGCCACTGCACTCCAGCCTGTGTGACAGAGTAAGACCCTGTCTCTAAAAAAAGAAAAAAAAATTATATATATATAAAAATATGAATGACATGGTTCCTGTCTAGGACCTTATTCTCTTTGGGATTAGGCAGATGTACTTATGTGTGGTCCACAGCACTTGTAAGAGCCACCTCTAGGGAGTAAAAAGGTAGTAGATATTTAGGAGAGATCTTTTCCAGTTGTAGGAGTGGGGAACAAATAAAGTCAATATTTTTTTCCATTCACTGGTCATCTCTTTCCCCAGGCTATACTGTCTATACTGTTTGAGTGTATGTGACATATATCTACATATAGTGCAATTCTGTAAATTTATTTTATTTGGAACCTTAGATGAGCCAGAAACATGAACATAATTAGAACCGGATGTGGTGGCACACTTCTGTAGTACCAGCCAATTGGGAGGTTGAGGCAGGAGTATCACTTGAGTCCAAGAGTTCCAGGACAGCCTGGGCAACATAGCAAGACCCTGTCTCAAAAACTAAAACAAAAGAGAAAATCAGTTAGATCTGAGCAATATCATAGGGAGGATGAGAGGCTGTGGGGATAAAAATATACCTGGATAGAGGGAGAGAGAAAGATAAAGAGGAGGATCCAGTAAACAGTAGAGGGAAAAAAGACTTTTAGTAAGGTTTTCTGGTGTCAGTCTGATGTATACTGATATTTAGGCTGTGTTATAGCTGGCAAACTATTCTTCACGCTTTTCAGTTGCTCTTAAATTTAATATGTGTGAGCTCTCTTGATTAGACTAGATGAGGAGGGCATTATTCTCTAGTTTGTATGGCTAAATAGTCCTTGCTGACATTTGATTTACATGCAGTTTTATGTCAGATCCTTTAAAATCACAAATATATGGAGAGAAAAATGGTATAGACAATAGAAAATTCTACTGGGCCTATAACTGGTCCATTAAGTTCTTGTTTAAATTGTAAACAATCAAATTTAATTTGGTGTTTATAAAAAATTATATATGTGAACTTACATTCTTGTATCTATATGTGTCTGTAATCCATTAGCTTATTTACAATGATGAAAGAATAGAAGTGTGAATAAATCAGAATGTCTCATGATTGAAAATGCTGTGTAACTGAAAATGCGTTTGTGTAGTCTTGAGGAGTTTCATTTGAAACAAAATTGTTAGTGTGTATCTTGAGGCAGAATGCTACTTTGTATTTTATTGATGTGTAATTGACATTCAATAAAATGCACATGATATCTAGTTCAAGGAGTTCTGACAATTTTCTACACTGTAAATTCTACTAAAATAAGATAGAAAACTTTTTTTTTTGAGACAGTCTGTCTTTGTAGCCCAGGCTGGAGTGCAGTGGCGTGATCTCGGCTCACTGCAAGCTCTGCCTCCCGGGTTCACGCCATTCTCCTGCCTCAACCTCCCGAGTAGCTGGGACTACAGGCGCACGCCACCACACCTGGCTAATTTTTTTGTATTTTTAGTAGAGACGGGATTTCACGCTGTTAGCCAGGATGGTCTCGATCTCCTGACCTCGTGATCCACCTGCCTCGGCCTCCCAAAGTGCTAGGATTACAGGCGTGAGCCACTGCGCCCGGCCAGAAAACATTTTTTTTAAGTCACCCCAGAAAGTTCCCTCACCCACCTTCCTCCAAAGGCAATCACTTCCTCACTCCATAGATTTCTCACACTACAGAGTTTTTTTGACTGGTCTTGGACTTCACATAAATGGAGTCATACAGCATGTGCTTTTTTGTGTTTGGTTTCTTTCATGTAAGAAAGATTCATCTATGTTGTTGGCAAGTATTAGTGGTTTGTCCTTTTAAGTTGTTGAATAGTATTCCATTGTACGAATATATGCCAATTTATGTTTTCTCCTTGATGGATATTTGGAATAAAGTTGTTATGAACATTCTTTTACAAGTTTCTTTTTCTTTTCTTTCTTTCTTTTTTTTTTTTTTTGGAGACGGAGTCTTTCTCTGTCGCCCAGGCTGGAGTGCAGTGGCGCGATCTCGGCTCACTGCAACCTCCGCCTCCCAGGTTGAGGCCATTCTTCTGCTTCAAGTAGCTGGGACCACAGGCACCCGCCACCACACCCGGCTAATTTTTTCTATTTTTTTGGTAGAGACGGGGTTTCACTGTGTTAGCCAGGATGGTCTCGATCTCCTGACCTCGTGATCCACCCGCCTTGGCCTCACAAAGTGGTGAGATTACAGGCGTGAGCCACTGTACCCGGCCTACAAGTTTCTTGATAAATACCTAGGAGTGGAGTTATTGAGTCATATGGTATGTGTATGTTTAACTTTATTAAAAATCTGCGGCCGGGCACGGTGGCTCAAGCCTGTAATCCCAGCACTTTGGGAGGCCGAGACGGGCGGATCACGAGGTCAGGAGATCGAGACCATCCTGGCTAACACGGTGAAACCCCGTCTCTACTAAAAAATACAAAAACCTAGCCGGGCGAGGTGGCGGGCGTCTGTAGTCCCAGCTACTCGGGAGGCTGAGGCAGGAGAATGTCGGGAACCCGGGAGGCGGAGTTTGCAGTGAGCTGAGATCCGGCCACTGCACTCCAGCCTGGGCGACAAAGCGAGACTCTGTCACAACAACAACAACAACAAAAAATCTGTCAAACAGTTCTCCAAAGTGATTTATACACAGGAGTTCTACTTCCTCCATATTTTTAGTGTTGCCAATGTTTTTTTTTTTTTTTTTTTT